TACAATTAATGTATATATATATAAATAATAAAAAGAAAAATTGGTAAATATTTGCCTATTTTTTTGCGTTCACTTTTTGTTTGAGACCATCATAAAAACATTAATCAGGCCCTAAAATTACTTATATATGCAGCAGGGATAAAGTAATAAACATACCACTACAGAATATATACATCTGCACATTTTTAATATTTAAGGGGAAAATAATATAATTTCATAATTCAAATTTCATTCAACTTCTTTTAAAAATATTTTCTTAGTTTAATTCAAACATTTAATTTTGTTAACAAATAATCAGGTAAAATTTAAAAATCAGTAAGAGAAAGTAGATATGCATTATTATAATTAGTTGCAACAATTTGTTTCTCTTCAGAGCAGAGAGCAGTGTGCAGTATATATAGTTCATTCTTAATAAACCTGTAAAATTCCAACTACCAAAGTGATGAATTCTTTTAGCTACAGTGATTCCTTGATGCCTATACTCGCCTGTGCATTAAAAAAGCCCATCATTTCTGTGTTGAATTCTTCCCCAACATTCACGGGCCTTTGGGGACAAAAGTATGTACATCATTCTCAAAGGTGGATCTTCATATATTATTATACAAATGCTCCTTGACTTAGGATGAGGTTATGCCCCAATAAACTCATTGCAAGTTAAAAATACCACAAATTGAAAATGCACTGACTACACCAAATCTACCCAACATCCTAGCTTAGTAACACAGTATAGATTACTAGTTGTTTCCTCTTATGATCGTGTGGTTGATTGTGAGTTGTGGGTTATGGCTGCTATTTAGCATTTCAAGAAAGTATCATACTGCATATTGATAGCCCAGGAAAAGATCAAAATTAAAAATTTAAAGAATAGTTTCTATTGAATGTGTATTGTTTTCACACCATCATGAAGTTAAAAAATCCTTGGTTGAACGAGAGTAAGTCAGAGACCATCTGTACCTTAAAATTCTCATCAGTATTTTAGGAAACACCAATATGGATATAGTTCTGTGGTGGGCAGACTTTTAAGGTGCCTCCTAATCCCTTGGTTCATGAGCCCTATATAGCCTTTTCACCTTGAGTGTGAGCAGGATCTTTGACTTGCTTCTAAGGAAGAAGTTATGGCACAGGTACAAGATGTCATGCTCTTGGTTACAGTGCATTACATAAGTCTCCCTTTCACTAGCAGGACTGCTCTAGAGTATGTCTCCTAAACCACTTTGAAGAAGCAAGAAAACATGAATTTTACAACAATAAAGAACTGGATGCTTCCAATCATGACAGCAGAGGGGCAGATCCTTCCCTAGCTGAATCTCCATATGAGAATGCAGCCCTGGCTGATGCTTGACTGCAGCTTTATAGAAGACCCAGTGAACTCATGCCTTGCCCCTGACACATAGAAACTGAGTCAGTGAACACATGTTGTGCTAAATTGGTTACAACTCAAATAAAACTCATATGAAACCATAAAAAAAGACAGGTTTTTGCAAAAAAGATAATATACAGGGCATCTTTTCCATTTTAAAAAAAGAACACAGTAAATTAGTAGTACCATGGCTAAATTTATATAGCCAATTGTCCTGTTTTGGATAAGCCATCTTATTAACACCTGTCAGGCACATGGCAGGTGATAAATGGAGAATGTAGCACCTTCTTATTATAAATGGCTATGAACACACATGGTGGCTCCAGGTGGTTATTAACGACAAAAGTATTGACTAGAACAATTTTCATAGTACATATGAATGCCTTGCTTTTCTAGTATGCAAATGTATCCTAATATAAAATGAACTTTAATTTTGGGTGCTCTAATGGTAACTAGAATCTTGACTAGAATGACAGATATAGTTCAGAAAATCTTCCCTTAACATAAATAAGCATCATTCTGAGGATATTTCAAACAGTAACAAGATAAGACAAGTAACTCCAGGAAGGGAGAGTTTTGCCTAAATCAGTTCAAAATCTAGAAAGGGGGCTGTAGAGCTTCAGTTTGAAATATGACTTTTGCCTTAATAAACAAAAAGAATGTTGGATGGTAACAAAGAATTGTGATAACTTTCAGGAAAAGAGGATCACAGGACTGTCAAGAAAAATTGACCTGATCACCTCATACTTGAGGGAGTCAAATTTAGAATTATGTTTTGGTCATATACACTTGTAGTGTTAATATAGTGTCTATATCTCAGCTAAGTTTAGTTAGAAAATACACATTTTTGTGAGATCATCAGGTAATCATTTCATTCTACAAAGACTATAATTACAAATTGTGAAGAAAAGAAACAAATTATTGTATATCAAAATCCTCTACATATTTTGCTACCTATTAGTTTTCTTTCCCATAACTGAATTCAATAATAAAATTTCAAAACTGACACCAAACATTATTTTATCATTAAAATGTAAAAATCATTAGACCAAAAAGGTTATTTGTTTTTCTTTTTTTCTCTAGGTATCTAATGCATTTTTAGCCACTTAGCTCTCATTCACAGGAAGATGGAAACCCTGCTCAGACCATCTGAGAAGCATTTCCTGTTTTACAAATGTCAGCTGGTGATCAATAAAAGGACAGGATAGATTTCTGCATAACACAAACACGAGAGTCCAACTTTGACTTTTATAAATTTCCATGTCACATTTTTAAGAGAGTAGGACTATAGTTCAAATTGTTGTTTGCATTTAAAACCTAAAATCATTAGGCAAATAACATTTTAGTTTTAGAAGAACAGGTCAGAACAGTCAGAAAGGGCCACACAGTGATTAATGACTGCACTTAAGTCACTGCTACACAAACAGATCACGGAGGGCCCCTGAGCAGAGATTCCTGGCACCCTGGCTGAAGCTGGGGTGGGCGAGTTGGTAGTGGTGCATGCCCATTGCCCAGACCTTGAGGCCCAGGGCTGGGTTTTCACTTATGAGAGCTTTAGGCTTAGAAAGTAAGTCATATTGTTACAGTATAAGTAAACCACAGCTACTGATCAGAAGAAGTACTCCTTCTGACTTTCACTGACAGTATTTTGCATGTTGAGTTCACTTTTCAGAGCAATCTCAGCATTGTCTCCAGCTTTTGAGATATCTGATTCATTCTTTTGATATAACCATCTCTGTTGACAAATGCGTATAGCAATGGCAGTGACACAGAGCAAGATAAATATCACCACTGCTACCACACCTGGTGAGAGAAAAGAAAGAGAACACACAAAGTTAGAAGATAAACTGTAAATTTCAACCTCGCCAGAATCTCTACTAGATGGTTTAAATCATATGTAATATCATATATATTAGTACATATAATATATATCTACATATGCATGTATGTATATGTGTATATACACACACACATAATAAATTTTGAGGACAAATGGTATTATGACATTAAGTTTACATGGCAGATCTTAAATGCAGATCATGATTGAATTTCAGTTAATGACTTCACATATAATGCAGAAATATAACTGGACCTCTTAGGCCATGTCCCACTTCACATTAATAAGCCAGGAAATTTTAATTATTTTAAAATACAGTGCATAGCCTCATCATCAGAGTAATTGTTTTTGTACAAATATTTTAATAAAAATTTACTTTGATACTGATATGCTGTTGAATTAGTTATATAATAAGCATGTCATTCATCTCTGTGAGGCCCTTAGCTCCTGACATCAGTTATGCCAGTGGTCCTCAAGTCTATTTAGCAACATAGAACAAATAAGATCAATGGATATTTAGATTTTTACAAAAAGCTTGTCAGATGATTTTAATGTGCTGAAAGGATCGAGAACCATAAAGTTATACCACAGGAATGTTTACTCAAGCTATCCTATTAGTAAAGAATGAATATCAAGTCTATACTGAAATAAATATGTAAAAGGTCAGTTTTAAAGATGATTGGCACAGGTATTAATTAATACTGCCAATTAGCAAAAGTTCAAGCCTTTTCATGACTTCCTTTGTTCAAGTGAGGGACCTGTGATGGAATAACAAAGATGACAGGCTGTACCTCAGGATGTGTGCATGATTATGTAATTATATTACAAAAGATCATAGCAACTCTCTTGCTAGATTTTCTCTTTCCTTCTGACTGTGAAGAGAAAAGCAGCCATGGCAGGGAAATGATACATGTAACCTTTAGGAGCTGTGGGCTGGCTTCTAGACAACAGCCAGCAAGACACCAGGACTTCTCAGAAGTCCCACTGCAAGACACTGAATGCTGCTGACTACCATGCTAGCAAGGAAGTGGATCTTTCCTAGTGAGACCAGTAGATGAAAACCCAGCCCTTTCTGCCACTTAATTGCATCCCAGGAGCCCCTAAGCAGAGGGAGTAAATGGGCTAAATGCAGGTTCTGTTTAGGAGTTAAGGATATATTAGTTTGTCATACAGAAATAACTAATATATCATGTTATTAAAAACTGTATAATTAGCTGGGGCCAGTGGTACATGTCTATAATCCTAGTGGCTCAGGAGGCAGGAGGATTCCAAGTTCAAAGCCAACCTCAGCAACCTAGCAAGGCCCTAAGCACTTAGACCCTATCTCAAAAAAAAAAAAAAAAAAAAAAAAAAGGCAGGGGACGGGAGGGATGTGGCTCAATTATATGGAAAGTAGATTATTTGACATCTCTTGGAAATGTTTTAAATATTGCAAACATCAGTTATGCCAGTGGTCCTCAAGTCTGTTTAGACAACATAGAACAAATAAGATCTGTGGATATTCAGATTTTTACAAAAAGCTTGTCAGATGATTTTAATGTGCTGAAAGAATCGAGAATCATAAAGTTATACCATAGGAATGTTTACTCAAGCTATCCTATTAGTAAAGAATGAATATCAAGTCTATACTGAAATAAATATGTAAAAGCTCAGTTTTAAAGATAATTGGCACAGGTATTAATTAATACCTCCAATTAGCAAGTGTTATATAACAAGTGCTATGTAAGTGCCTGCCTAGTTATACAAAAATATTTGTACTATAAAATGAGGGTTCTTTTTCATACTCTGGGATAGACAACAGCAACTAAAATGAAGCCCAACAACTCAAAGTTTAATTAGGTATAACTAGTCAAAGGGATTCCTAAGCACAAGTCTGAGAGGAAGTAGTGTGCTCATTATTTGGTTTATATTCATAAATATTCATAACAACATTTTGTTCAATATACTTTGCATCGCTTTAGGAAACAAACAATTACATTGCTTTAGGTTCTGTTTTTTTTTTTTTTGCTGCTTAGTTATAGGACTTTGTTTTAAGGAGAAATATATACAATTGCAATGTTAAAGACTGGTAAATCTCAGAACAATGATGGGGCTACTTGATTATAATTCCATGACATTACAGGAACTCCTCAGTATACCTTGGCCTTTTTATATGTGATAACTCTTTAACTATGGCTTGGTTTATTACATTTAATAGGATCCTAAAATAACTTGTCTGTACCCAAAGATTAAAATTATTTGAATAATCACTCAATGCATTTCATAAACTGCGTATCACTGATAGTGTTTTTTTTTTTTTTTTCTTTTTGGTACAAGGGATTGAACTCAGGGGTAATTCAAGCACTGAGCCACATATCCCCAGTCCTATTTTGTATTTTATTTAGAGACAGGGTTTCAACTGAGTTGCTTAGCCTTCACTGTTACGGAGGTGGCTTTGAACTGCCTAAACCTCCAGAGCTACTGGGATTACAGGTATGCACCACCGTGCCTGGCTTGTTAGTGTATTTTTTATATGAGCTTCTCTCTGCCTGCCTCTCTGTCTATCTATACATCTGTCTCTTTATCGATCTAACTGCCTATCTATAGTAAATGTCCCTTGGTAAGAAGCCCTCTGTGATCTCTGGTTTACCAGGTACTAATATTTTTTTTGGTTCATTCTTTCCTATACTGTTCCTTTTGTTTGCAAGAGGAGGAAAAGATAATTCAAAATGCAGAACATAGAGAAATCTATCCATATCAATAAACCTTTATATGGATTAGGTATTTTTCATATAAGTCTAGTCTGTGTGTTCAATTAGTTCACTGGTGGTCAATGCACCCAGTGGTCTTCTAATCATCCAGCCATTAGACACTGCCCAAACAAAAGGCAGTACAAGTACAAGTGAATCACAAAGCCTGATATATTCACCTTGTCAGGTCCCTGAGACCTGTGTTTTCTCCTTCTCCACCCATCTATGAGGAGCCAAGTAGGATTGCTCAAGGGAAGTACACTGGTATAACTTATTTACTTTGAAATTTTGCCAATGATATTTAGGCAAAAGCTCTAAAGATTCAAAGGCCTGGTATTTTGTGTTATCATCAGAATGAAAATTCACTTTGCTCTTTTAAATAAAAGGCACCAAGTTTGCAAGTATTTTGACTTGGATTCCTACTTTGAAAATATATAACACATTTATTTTAAACTAGTTTGCATTAGAATGGATACTTTTCATTAAAATAAATTAGAAATGATTTGGGAGTAGTATTTAAATTCCAATATAAAGCATTTCTTTTAGATATAAATGATAAAAAACATTTATGGGATTTTTGTTTGTTCTTGGAATTGAAAATGGAGGTTATATTAAATAAGTTCCTCATACTTCAATCATTAAAAAAATAAAAGTAGTTGAGATAGGGGTGGAAATGTTAATATCTTTACAGAGATTTTTAAAGTGTCTGAGTACTCTTCTAATTCTATGACATCTAGATGAATACAGATAAACTATACAGACCCCATGTAAGCTGATGTGCAGCCCATATGAGCAATGGAGACCAAGTGGTGTCACCTAGCTCTCTGAGTTATGAACCTTATTTGACAAAGCAAAGGAATAGATTATAGTTTACTTCCTACTCACTAAGCAGAGTGTGCAATAGACTCACATTTCAATAAAAACCAAACAATTAAAATGGGATAGCTCGGTGGAATAGTACCTGCCTTCCATGTGCCAAGACCTGCCCATTCCCAACACTCCCCTTCCAACACACACAAGAATTAAAAAATTCTTTGAACTGTAAGAAGGGAGAATTGCACACTCATTTTTTGAGTTAGAACTTAATAAATTCTGTGTTAGTCACTATGTTGTTTATACTGTCACTTCTTCAATTCTAAATAACCTTGGAACTCTTATTCCATTAGCCCCAAAACATTTAAAATAAAATTAAAAGCAAAAATCACACTGCTTGAAGCACCTAAACAATACAAATTGTTATTTTTCAAACATAAAAATATAAAACTATACTTCTTATTCCTGTCTTTGGTGTTATATAACAATTTGAAGGCTCAGTGGCAACTGCAAGGAGCCATAGAACCACTATATATTATCTCCTGTATCAAAATAACAGTGATAGTTATTTTCAAATAAAAACTTCTCACTATTCTATAATATGTTAGCTATTCTTCAGTGTGCTTCAGTGGAACCATCAGTTCTTTTTACTGAGGAACTGAATTCAGTAAGTTACATGAAATATCAGGAAATTTACAAGGCCTGCCATTGACCCCAGTAGTCTGAACTAATTGCTATAGATGGTTTCTGGGTTATGCTAACAGCCGCATTACCTCCAATGACCGCAGAGTCACTTCTGTCTGCATTAATTAAGGGCTCTCCCTCATCAGTTGGTCCAGAATAGCCTACAGTAGAAAAAGGGAGGACAGAGCGAAGAGAAAAGAGTAATTCACAAACACTGGAACAACAAACAATTGTAGTGGGAGAAATGAACATGAAAGGAAGAACATAGGAGAGGGAAAGGCCAGATACCAAGCAGGTGAATCAACAAACAGGACTAACTAAGTAAATCTGCGATATAGTAGTAGTGACACACAGAAAACAAGTACAAGAGAGGTACCCACCTGAACCATCTGAGAGCCGGGGAGCGAGTTCCCGCACTCTGGAGCCAGGCCCTGCGCCCGCCGCGCAGCGGGATCCAGCAGCCACTTGACCATGAACAGTGACCGGGACAGGTCCGCCAAGGCGCAGCGCCGCCTTCAGCGGGGCTGCGTGGCTAAAGCGCACAGCAGACAGGCAGCCTGTGAAGCCGCGCGCTGCCGCCCGCTGCGTATCCGGGTCTGCACCAGGGGGCTCTGCCGACAAAAGTGCATACATTGTTAGGGCGCCCCACATCTGCAAATCTCCCTTCCAATCCCTATCTTTTCATCTTTAAGGAAATACACTGCGGCCATTACCAGTGGCCTGAGTTATTGACAAGCGGGGTGGTAACTTTGGTCCATTTTGCTAAAATCTTCCCTAGAGGCAGCCACGGAGTAGATAAGGGCGAATTCCTCGGCAACTTCATTTTTTCAAATGATCATTATAATGCTTTTGGATGGAATTTGTACCCATTAGTACAATTGGGTAAAGCGAAATATATCTTGGATTTGAGGACACTCTGGAAATTTCTCTGAAAAATTCTCTAGGCTGTGTTTAACACCAGAGGCTGCTCCCCTCCACAATGTGGTCTCCATTCCCTTTTCCATAGATTGCAGTCTGTCCCTGCCAGGACCCACCTACCTTTAACCACAAGCGAGGAAGGTTGGTTTTAGCAAGATCTAAGTAAGAGCAATTGCCATGGAAGATGAAAACTTGAGGTTGCTAATTTCAGTGAATATGCTCTGCCTTTCCACTTGCTCAATGGGCATGGAATCTGACAAGGGGAGTTAGATGTGAAGTTCAAAAATTTAAATGTCAAACAGAGAAGCATCCTCTACCCTGCAGAGGAAACCGTGTCAATACTGATGTCAAATTCCCTTTGCAGACTGGCTGTGGGGGAAATTGCAGTTGATTCTCCTTATTCTAACCACCAATGAATGAATACATAGTTGTCAAGAATTTGCCAAATGATTTACTATAGGTTATCATTTTAATCTTTGCAGCATAAAACAATGTATACTTTTATTCCTATAACTGAAGAGGTGAAGGTTTAGAAGTTTGTAGCATAAGTTAGTAGGACATTAAGGTTACTGGAGGTTGGGACTTGAATTTAGGCCTCTTCAACCCCTTTCTCAACAAGATATTCTTTTTTTCCCCCATTAGTATATTCTGTATATGTTCATAATTGCTCACATGGAGGGACTGGTAAATGGGGATCATTATACTATTTTTACTTTTATAAGTTCATATATTTTTCCATAGCACATATGTACATATTCAATAAATGCTTTTTGGTTGACTTAAGAACCAATCTTTAAGTTCACTCTGAGAATCTCAGTTCAGATCCATTCTGTCTTGATGTTGTAGTTAAACTCTCAAAGGACAATCCTTATTTCTTTTGAATTTGAGGGTGCTTGAAATATATTTTTATATTAGAGGAATATACAGTCCCATCACCATAAATTCACCTTTCTATGGATACTTAGTAGCTACTGAAATAATTTTTATAATGTGGCACTCATGAGGATAGAAGAGCCTTCTGTTCTAAAAGATTACATGCATTGGATCAAGATAAAAATGCACTTCCATAGCTGATTACCATCTCATCCACTGAGGTTTCTTGAGTGTTTTTTTTTTTTTTTTTTGAGTGTCAGGGTACCTAAAGTCACCTCTGTTGTTGTACTAATATGAAAGAAATGTGAAAATTATCCAACAGAATGGAGTTGCTTGTTCCAATCCTGGCAAAGAAAGAAAAGGAAGGAGGGAGGGAGGGAGAGAGGAAAGATTACAAAACAAGTATTCTTAGTCATAAAGACTGTCTTATAGGACTATCACTAAAGTCTCTGTCAGGCCACAAGCTTGCACAGGAGTATACAAAAAACAAAGCAAACAAAAGAACTTCTGCAAGGATACCTACCCATCAAGTGTCTGTTCAACCTCAGACTGATGCCACTGTCGTTATTAATTACTGTACCCAAAGATTATTGTTTCAAAATATCTGATAAAATCTTCAGCTTTGTCTTTAATGTATTTTCTTTCCCCAAGTTTCCTTGACTATACTCCTACATTACTTTGATGGTATATTCCCTTTGCAGTGCTTTGTTACTCTGATTGCAATGTTATTCCTAAAGAAATACCACTATTCTCTGAAGAATCTGTTTGTTGTTGTTAGACTGAAAGTAAGGTTAAGCTATGTACTCTGAATCTTCTACTCATAAGGTGGGGCTTCTTAAATCTAATTTTAGGTATTCCTTTTCATTCCTACTAATCTTCACTTCATTATTTTAGTCTGTCATTCTTGAAAACCCAATCTTTTGTATTCTTATTTCTTCTGACTTGAAAGAGAGTTCTCTTGAAAAAAGTGTGTTGTGAACTGTTCGGCTTACAAACTTAGGGACTGTTAAGTTGCAACAGTAAATGTTTGTGTATAAAAAATCATCTAAAGCAATTAAAATTAGGGGCATGATGTTTATGATATTATAATAAACATCTTTCTTAAATATCTTGGTCAGGCTGATTATATGAGACATCAAAAAACTTTTGTGTGATAAATTCCTGGTAAATTTTAAGCATATTAGGAGAAAGTAAGCTTGGAACAACTCAACTCAAAGAATATTATAAATTTAGAGATGTCTTCCAAGATGACTTTATTTATCATTTTATAATTTGATAATGTATAATTTACAGAAAGAAATATTTGCTTGATATACTTGAAAGTGTGTCAAGAAGAAATAAAATGGGAAGATATTGCAACAGCAACATGGAACTTCTTTGGGAAAGCTAAATTATGGAAAAAACATTAAAATTCAATTTAAAATCCTAGCTATTAAGCAAAAAGTAAGAAAAGAAAAAAGAAAGAAAGGAACTATGGCAAATATTAGGCTAATTAATGAATTATACTAATTCTGTGAAATTTATTTTCTAAAGACAACTGAGCTTCATCTTTGCTGACAGTGCTATTACTGAAGAAAGACACATAGGTACTACATTATAATTGCCTCTATTTCAAGAATCTCCACTTAATATTTGTACATATGTATGTATATTTGTGGACATGAATGTGTGGGCTAGATTTATATGTACCCCAATAGCCCAACTCTGAACATTATGTGTACATTAGATATAAATTCACCTGGACAGGTTTGCTGCCTGCACTGGCTCCCTCATATTTTCCTATGGAAGGTTCGTGATTTTGTCCAGTTTTAGACTGAATTAATTTCCCAGTATTTTGCTGAGATGGGATGCATGGTTAATATTTAATCTCAGTCCATCCTTGTTACCCTCAAAAAACATTTTTTAACCTTATCAGATAAATTATATAGTAGATGTTTGAGCTGTAGCCCATTTTTCTTGGTAGTATGACATTTTTACTTCATCTTTATTTTATTTTTTTATTTCACTGCTACAATTAGATGTTGGCTTCTAAGGACAAAATCATCATATTTCATTGCAGAAACTTCTGCCTAGAAAATTTGGAAGGTTTTTCTTTTTTGTTTTGTACTTCAGGAATTTTATCAGAATTTTTCCAAATTTATCTTTTTTTCATTAGAACTGATATTTATTGTTTTTTTTCTTTAGCTTGGAGAAATTGCCTATTTTAAAATATATTAATGCCTTTGTTTTAAATTCTCTTTCTAGATCTCCAATTATATAAGTGAGGTTTTTCTAGATTAGATTCCCATGTACTTCCTATTTTCCCTCTCTGTTAATCTTCTTGCTCTGTGATCTGAGACGTTATATCTAGGCCACTATTTAAGGATAATCGGTGATCATTATCTTTTTCAGATCACCCAGTGAAATTTTGTAAAATTTGTTTAAATTTCCCATGTGTTTTTCTCTTTGCCTAAAATCTTCTTGAATTCCAATTTGCATCTTTGTTGTTTACTGTCTTCTTCAACAGTGTATTCTGGCATAGAAAATGTTATTTGCTGTTTATTCTCCCTCTACCTCACCCACAACTTTGCTGTTCGATTCCATTAGGTATGCCAGTACCTACTTTCTTATTTATTTATTTGTCTGCTTACTTCCATGGTTGTGAATCTGATATGAAATACAAGTCCTGACAATATGGAAGGTACAGTTTCTCTGATCCTGTCAAAAGAAGGGACCTGACTACAGACTGTCTCCTATCCTTAGTTCCAGATGGCATGATGGAAATGGATACAATCAGGCTGAGCACTGTTGATGATCCTTTGACATTTCCGAGTTTTCTGCAAGTTAAACTTTATATAGGACCCATAGCTTTTGTACTTCCTTGGTGCTGTGTTGTGTTCTCCACCAGCCCACTGCAAAGTGCTCACTACAGCTGTCATTTACATCTTCTCCTGATCCTGCTGCTGGGATAGCACATCAGCTCTTTACCCAGGAGCACAAGTATAATAATCTAAACTGCCATCATCCCAAAGTAGGTCAGCATCAGAGTGAATAGAACTGTATTTAGATAAAGAGTGTAAATGTGTTTCCCCTATTAGCTAAGTCCTGAAATTCTATCATTAAGGTTCTTTTGACTCAAATTTTTCTTCTCATTAAAACATAAAGAAAGGAAAAGTTAGGAAGGAACTTTGGAGAATACCTAGTGTGTTATTAGTCATTGTCACAGCCTGGTGAAACAAGCACTCAGCTGCTATCTTGAGAACATGGATGTAACCATAGGAAATTGGGAGACAGATGCAGTTTCAGACTAGGTAAGAAAGGAACCAGGAATATGGTTCAAGTGGGCCATGAAAAAAGCAAAGTTTAGGAAAGGGTGGACTAAAGGGCTGAGCATAAAGTTCACTTCCACTTCAATTCTGAGAAGAATCTCTCAATCACTTTGAATACAGACTCATTTAATCTTCCTTTCTCTTAAAAATTTTCTCTGGTAGGAAGTGTTGAGAGTCCAGGCAAATTTCCAACAATTCAGGACACAAATATTCTCCACTGTCTCAGGTGTTGAGTAGTTTTGTCTTCAAAATCTATCATGTAAGTTATATATTGCAACATGTACGATGATTTCTGCTCTTGAAAAGGAAGAGACAAATAATTAAAAATGTGTACAAAAAGCTCTCTGCTACCCACAATGAATAGTGAGTGCTTCTGAAAGGTTTGCTGTGGACAAGAGGTTTAACTGTAAAGTCAGTACAGGATATTAGCAGCCAATGACTAGAAGCAATGCAAGTGTGCATCACCATGAGAATGGATAAACAAATTGTGTATATTCTTATAATAAAAGTCC